GGAAGATCTTATATTCATGAGCACCAATGAATCTATCAACACTATATAGTGCATAGTAAAGAGGAAATTTTCAAATGATTTCAAGTCTCCGTTGCATACTAAAAGCATCAATCGACAGTTACAATGATTTAAATATGAATGGATTCTAGAGTAGGTTTAAGGTAGTACTAAAATTAAAATCTACCAGTCACACATGATATTTTCTGACTGATATAACTGAGAAATTTAAAAAGTAATTCATATGCAGGCCACAAAATGTGCCAGAAGATCTGAAAAAATATGGCTGAATCTTTATGCTTTTTTATTTAATATTTTTTATTTTGACAACTTATGATAATATAATTATAATTAATTAGAATACTGATAAATAATTGGTTAAAGATCATATGTTCTGGATAGAGAAGTATTATTTTGAGTAGATGATTGTCAGGTAATTCTTTATGGTGATCACTATGTAGCTGATCACTGTAATTTTGGATTATGAAAAAAATACTATATAAATTATAATGATGAATAGATACAATAGAGTACCATGTAACTTAAAAATCAGCCAAGTGATATTCAATGACATATTAAGTAGATACTTATTGAGAATTTACTATGTATTATGCATCAAATATAAAGTTCTAGCATTTGTAAATGAGTAAGGAAACAATCTGGTTCCTGATGGTGTGAACTTTGCATGTTAGTTCATTAACAAACATGGAAAAAAAATTAATATAATGTGAAAGAACTCTTACAGTACGTGAGGCTTCAGGCTTGAGTGACAGGAGTAGTTCAGTATGACTTTTGCACAGTGTAGGGAAAGGAGATGCAAGAAAATGAGATCTTAACACTAGTTCCAGATTTATGGAATTTTCCTTTTTATACTGTGTGGTTTACCTGTCTATAATTGGAACATGAGAGTACCTTAATTTCAATCTTAAGCAGTATTTTTCAGAGAAGCCTTCCTTAATCCAACAAGACTTGCTTAAATCTCTTTGTTACAGAATTTCATAGTACCTTGTACTTATTCTTTTCCTTGTAGGACATATCACAATTTAAATTAATTAATTGTAGCTGAGAAAATATTGAGATGTTGATTGATTTGGTGTGATTAAAAATTCATTTCCTAATTAAAAATTGGAACTAATAGCAGGTTCTTTCCCTCTGGGTTGGCCCTTAGCTAGAGAACAGAGACACAACATCTTTGAGAACAAGAAAATCTCAGCGTTTTAATGCCACCTTCTGCATATGCCTCCTCACACTGAGACCCAGTTGGGGACAAAGGAAAGGATCCTGTGCCTAGAGGAGAGGAAGGGCTACTAGCACTCCTCACCACTCTAGACCCTGCATATGACACAGGATGCTGGTAAAGAGAGGGGCAGACATCATTTGAGCATCTAGGACCCAGAGGAGTACTGGGGTTTCCTCATCTGGTCAGGATAGGTTCCAGCTGACATGAAAATAAAAGGATATTTGATGATGTATATAATCTCAGTGTCCCGGAGAGAGGACGAGAGGATTCTTCATTTATTTTATGCCTCTTATCTGAACCTTTATGTGACAGTAACTCTATGTCATAGTAATTCTTTAAAATTATACAGCTTAAAAGCAAATACACTCTCTTAATTCAAATGGCACTTGTGAAAAAAAAATCAAGTCACCACATTAAAATATGGCATAAAATTACTCATGATTTAAGGTTTACAATCTTCAACTAATTACAGGGACAATTGTGTATCCATAGTAAGAAAAGATTTTACAAGATGGCATTTGCTTGGAGACCCCAAGGCCCCCCAAACATGGAATACTTCCTGGGATCGCTAACAATACAAACATATTTACTCTCCTTTTATATACTCTTTAATCCCAACACTCTGCTTCTCCCAGGTTCCCCCTCGCCCATTTAAGCAGACTGTGACTTTGTCTTTAATGCCTTTGGGGATAGGGTTTGTGTGAGTAGCTAGCAATTCCTTAATTCTTTAATATTATTAATTTCTAGAAGCCCCAACTAAAGAAAATTTTAAAAATCAAACAACCACCAAACAGAACATGGGAGGTTGGGCCGGCTTAGCGGTTAAGTGCACGCGCTCCACTGCTGGCGGCCCGGGTTCGGATCCCCGGGGGGCGCACCAATGCACCGCTTCTCCGGCCATGCTGAGGCCGCGTCCCACATACAGCAACTAGAGGGATATACAGCTATGACCTACAGCTGTCTGCTGGGGCTTTGGGGGAAAAAATAAATAAAAAAAATTAAAAAAAAAAAAAAAGAACATAGGTTAAAGAGTGGAGGGAAAATGAAGATTAATCAGGGACACAGAAATAACAGGTAAAAACATGAAAAGAATTTTTCTAGGCTAGAAAGAGATACACATATCTTGTTTTTCCCATCGTAGAATAGACATTGACATATTTCTCACAGGTATGAGTGGGTCCACTGAGATCCATACATGCTACACAATAAAATGCATTCTTTTTATTTAATATATTGACTGCAATGTGCAATTTAAAATATAGACTGTATGCTCCACAAGAAGATATTTTTATATCTCCTGTATCTTTTGTAGTGTTTGGCCCACAATATGTGTTCAATAGTGTCAGTTGAATGAATGAATTATCCTCCTTGTTGTTATCAGTAATAAACATAATCTTAAAGAATAAAGATATGCTGGAGTTTACCCAGCAACATGACAAAAGCTTGGATTCACTAGGTCTTGACACTCCTTTTCCGAGCCTGTTGCCCCTACTTCTAGAATGCAGCTGGGTATTATATTCAAAGGAAATGAAATGACAGGGTCTTGAAGAGATATTTGCATTCCTGTGTTCATTACACCATTATTTAAATAGCCAACATATGGAAAAAACCCAAGTGTCCATCAACAGAAGAATAGACAAAGAAAATGTGCTGTATATATATATGCAATGGAATACTATTCAGTCATAAAAAGAAGGAAATCCTTCTATTTGCAACAACGTGGATGAACCTGGAGGGCATTATGCTAAGTAAAATAAGCCAGACAGAAAAAGACAAATGCTGCTTAATCTTACTTATATGTGGAATCTAAAAAAGTCAAACTCATAAAAGCAGAGAGTAGAATGACAGTTGCCAGAGGGTAAGGGGTGGGGGAAACGGGGAGATTCCATCAAAGGGTTCAAACTTTCAGCTATAAGATGAATAAGTTCTGGGGATCAGAACACGCATACATGTGCCCCATGCATAGCATGGTGCCTATAGTTAATAATACTGTAGTATACACTTGAAATTTGCTAAGAAAGTAGATCTTAAGTGTTCTTACCACACACACTCCCCAAAATGGTAACTATGTGAGGTGATGAATGTGTTAATTAACTTGATCGTGGTAATCATTTCACAATATGCACATATATCAAATCATCACATTGCACACCTTAAATATATACAATTTTACTAGTCAATTATACCTCAGTGAATCTGAGGGGAAAAAGAAAATGACAATAGAGTGTGTTTCCGAGTGTATGCGGTACAAGTTTCTTACTGTATAAATGGAGGCATGCTTTTTTATTAGAACTTATACTGAGTTATCTCAATTAATTGGATCCCACTGCTTGCCTGGAGAAAAAAGTTAAATGAAATCAATGGATTCATGCTACAAGTAAGACTTAGAAAAAAAATTTATACTTAATCTCAACAAGTATCAGAGAAAAGGTGGAAATATAGATGAAGCACAGGCTGTGAATACTTTGTATGTCATGCTAAAGAGATAACCAAGGAAACAAGCAATATGATATTTTTGTTAAGCACTGTGATGTACACTTTATACATTCTAGCTAATTTAATTTTCATTGCAATTGTCTGTAAATGTTTATTGTTATGCAAATTCTCCAAGGTATACTCGTAAGATATACATTAGTTAAAAAGAAAGCAAGTAAGATAATACACACATTATCTTCATATACATAGAGTCTAAACTTTGTTGTAAAAAAGTTATGAAATATATGTATATCTTCATATAGACAGAGATCCTGAAGATGAACCCAAAATTAACATTGGAGAATGGAGTGAGACTAGGAGATAAAGAATATCTTAACTTTTTATATTTCAGTTGAAGCATAATGTGAGTCTGAAGCCAGGCAGAGTTTTTTGAGAATGAAAATATGGAAACATATGTCAGGGGCATTTCAAAGGTAGAGACAACAATAAATTAAGAATAAAATGGGAGTGAGACATGAGGGAGAGGAAGTGACCAATGTTGATTCTAAAGTTTTATTTTTTTCTCTCTCAGATGGGAATGATGTTGATTCCAATGACAGATAAAGTTTGAAGTCAGATACATTTTTCTTTTTTAAAATGTTGTTTGATCACCTTAATAATCAACCAGGAAGTGATGTGAAATTAAGTCAGACACAGTAGGAAGACCAGAGATGGATTAATGGATTTGGAGTTTATCTGAAAAGAGATGCTTAATGAAACAATGAGCTTGGATGAGATTGCCCAGGGAGAGTCTGTAAAGCTAGAAGAGGAAAGGGAAGGGTAAAATTGGATTATGGCTTCATGTAATCAGTGGAAATGAAAAACATCAAGAAAATGACTATAAAAAGTTGTCCAAAAGATATGATTCTTTAAAATAGTGTATTGTCACTATTCCAAGGGGAAAAAAAGCATTCCAAGAAAAAAATATTGATTAATAGTAATAAATTCTGAAAGGCAATTTAAGACAGATAATTTAATGGAATTTTTATGATTGTGTTGGCTTTGAATGAGTAGTTTCACTAGCAAGTCATCAATGTTCTGTACTTCTACTGTGTGATGGGCTATATGTTATGTTCTGGAGATAGAGTTGTAAACAAAACAGTCCCTGTTCTAGGAGCCCCTTATCCAGGAAAAGGGAAACATATCACCAGTTACAGGATAATAGTGCAGGAAGTATATGTATTTAAAACGTATGTATGGGAGCTTGAAAATTTGTACCATGTTGGGGAATGTCAATAAGTATTCCATGAAGGAAGTGATATTAACTTCCTTCATTAACTCTTTATAGGGCACTTGGTAGAAGAAACAACGTGGTCAGAGGCATGGATTTGGAAGTCATATGGCAAGATTATGGATCCTACGGGTGCCTGTGAGTATATGGTAGAAATAGGCGACAGGGAATCAGCCAAGATTAGATTGGAAAGGTCAGCAGTAGTCAGGTGTTAACAACCTTAAATTAATTGTTCACAAAATTGAACTTAATTTTCCCTAAGAAAGGTGAAAAGCAAAGGCCTTTAGGATAAATTTTGGAACAACCAATTTATATTTTAGAAAGATAACTCAGACTGGAGTATGGAGGCTGAATGGGAGAGGGTGGAGCTTAGGGGCAGGCTATCTGATAGGGGATTCTGCGGTGGGTGACCACATTAGAAGGAAATGAAGGTCAGGACTAAGGGAAATCGAAGGAAATTAAAATGGCCACAGGAATTGGGAAATGGTAAGGGGAAGAGATGCAGAAGCAATTTCAGAAATAGAATCGACAGGACTTAGTGACCGATTACTGTTATGTGAAGTAAAAGGGTGTTAATGAAAATTTCTACATTATATCCTTTTTTGGGAGAAGGATATGGTAAATAACTGACATTTGAATAGATTCCGTACAAACTATTCTCACCAAACTAAAATTATGTCTTTATTGTGAAAAATTTTGAATATTAGACTTGTACAGAATTTACTGTCCCGATTAAAACATGGCATTGGTCAGATATTTAAGGTGGCTATTTTAGAAAGAGCGTGTTTTCCAAAATACATTATATTCCAAGCATCAGTGGCAAATACACACACATATATACACACATATAAAATAATTTCTTCTAGAGTTTATGCAAATTAATATTTAATGCTATGTAAGAAAATGATGAATGCATTTCAATATTTTTCTCATCTCTATGTGATATTAGGCTTTAAGAAACAGTGTGCCAGATCTGAGAAGTCCAGGAAGTTGTAGGAAGGAGCATATGATGTTGTGTGAATGCATAAGGTTGCATTTGTATTTTGATGCCCCGTCATTACCTACCAACTGAGACCCAGGGTATGTATTATGCATACAATTGTGATGTTCTAGGTATTTTATATCATTTGATGTTTAAAATAAATTAAACTTGTATACCCCAAGACATTCATTCACAATGAATCAGTGCCCAACAGAAGGAATTGATTTGTGGGGTTATTATTATTATTGCTATTTTGTCCACTTCAATCTAAACATATGCCTTTGGTGCCCCATTAACATGCCAGAGTATTCAGAGTTAAATGAATTTGGTAAATCTCAGTCTATCAGGTAGTATATTTAAGATAATGTGTAGCTGATTTAAAAAGGGTACCTGGCTAGTGTTGATTAATGGATCAATTTTAACCAGCAGAATTGTACCTGCAATTATTTATTTATTAACTTTTTCATTAATTTAAAAACCTACTATGGGTGAGGCAAGTTTTTTAGAGATAAAAAGTTAGACAAACTATAGTTCATGATGTGCAGGAATCAACTTTAGCTGGAGAAAGAGAGATAAATATTCAAATAATTATATGAAATAAAATAGAAATAAATTAAATTGCAATAAGAAAAACAAGGAGGTACTGTTTGATTTTGCTTTGAGAAATATGTATGGCTTTAAAGGCCCAGATGTTCATTTTTATCCAGCTGGTAAAAGTCAATTTGATATTAAGGTAAACTAAAAGGACTATAATGTATCTGTTTTCCATAATTTTCACATTTTATCATTGTTCCAAGACACTTGCCTTCTCTTCCCTTTCTTGATTCTTTCAAGATTGTATATTCACCAGATTCCTGATACTTAAGGTGTCCAGAATGAACTATAAGAGGCTGTGTGGTGTGTTGGAAAGAGCACCTACGTAGGAGGCAAGTTGTGGTGTACATTAAATCAGATAATGTATTTAAAATGTCCAGCTGGGGCTGGCCTGGTGGTGCAAGTAGTTAAGTGCACACGCTTGGCTGCTGCAGCCCGTGGTTCACCGGTTCGGATCCTGGGTGTGCACCAACGCACCACTTGTCAAGCCATGCTGTGGCGGTGTCCCATATAAAGTGGAGGAAGATGAGCATGGATGTTAGCCCAGGGCCAGTCTTCATCAGCAAAAATAAAAGAGGAGGATTGGCAGATGTTAGCTCAGGGCCAATCTTCCTCGCAAATAAATAAATAAAAATGTCCAGCTGATGCTTATAGGCACTTATAGGCATAGAAGATAGCTATTTTCTTCATCTCCAGCATAATCACTCTGCTTTCAAATTAATACCTATATACACATTTCCATATCATCACCATGTTTGCACTTAATGTATAGCATGAGGATATTTTTTGGATCTTCACTCTACTTATTTCTAAAAATCTTTTCCTAATTTCTCCTAATGTTTTCTTAATATTTTCTTCTTTAAATTCTACTCATCAAGCCAGAACTTTTGTTTCTAATCTGATGAAAAGGACAAATTGTCTTAGTATATTCTCTGAGAAAACTGCTTAAAAAAACTTCTGACAAATTCAGTATAGCTACTAAATAGTCAGGATCCAGACAGAAAACAAAATTCACATGGTTCAAATGAAGAGAATTCGGTGAAGGATTTTGTAGGTTTCAGGGAATAACCAAGGGATATTGCATCACCCAAGACTAACAAGAGTGAGAATCTTACTTACTATTTTTAAGGCTGATGTGTCAAGAGGACAACAAAGTGTTATTCCACCCAGTGAGAGCCGAAACCTTGATGAAAGGGCCATCTGGTAGAAATTATAGTCAAGTGGTAGACACATGGCACCAGGGAGCAGACCAGGAGACGCTTCTGTTCTCTCTCTCCTCTCACTTTCTGATCTAGTGTCTCCCACTGGCTGAACCAAACAGTAAGCAACTGACAAGGAGACCTAACTGATGAAGTTCGTTGGAATCATTCCTTCCAGGCACAGAGCAAGGCAGAGAAAATAGACACGGATCAGAGTGGCGGAGCAGGGAGGAATTACCACCACAGCAACATGATGAAAATTTCTGTCACTGTTATTCTGAAAGTTTTATTATCCTCCAACATTCCTGAGTTAGCATTATATAACTCTTTAAACTTCCCAATAACTCTATGAAGTTGCTACTATTTTTATCTTCAGGTAAGGAAACTGAGGGACTGAGAGATTAAGAAATTTGTCCAAGCTCACTGTCTGCCATTTTCAATTTTCAGAGTCTGTTGACTGTGATCTTGCTGCTTATATGTGCCTGTGCTTATGTCCAATCCTTGGCACCCAGCCTCCTGGACAGAAATAAAACTGGATTGTTGGGTATATTTTGGAAGTGTGCCAGAATTGGTGAATGGAAGAGTCCTTATGTTGCAATATGCTGCATAGTGATGGCCTTCAGCATCCTCTTCATACAGTAGCTTGGGAAAATGCCAGAATTTTATTGTCATCAGATTTCAGTATGAAAAAAAAGGACTTAGCTGCAGAAAATAATGGAAAGAAGGGTTAACCCATTTATCTGTGAACACTGAATGAGATAAATTTCCAGCTGCTGTTCTCTATTTCTGTTATTGGACCA